ATATATATATATATATATATATATATATATATATATATATATATATATACTTTAAAAATGCAATATACGGAATGTGCATGAATATGCAAAAAGATGCAAAATATCCAAAATATAATATTATATTTGAGGAATAAAGCAAATCTCTATTTAAATTCTATTTTTTTTAAGTCATTTACATTTACTTATTGATTTATTGATTTTCCATAAAAATCTATTGTCATTTATTAATTAGTTATTAGATATGAATATATAAATTTTTATAAAAAAAATTTATAAAATCTATAATAAATAATTAATATTACAATACTAAATGATTTTTACTTTAAATCAATAAGTTTAACATTTATATAAGAATTATTTATACATTTCTTTTTATATCGTATCATATATATATTTTAAAAAAATTTTTTTTACATCGTTATTGAAATTTGAAATTATTGTATTTAATATAATATTATATTATATATTTAGAATTAAATATTAAAGATATATAATATTACATTGTATTACATTCTTTTATCATATTATCATATGAAGTAAAAATCAATTTCATTTATACTGGTATAATATATATAATAAGTTAATTGCATAACGTAATTTCAAATTTTTCCTTTTTAATTTTAAAAAGGAATTTTTAAATTTAATTATCATAATTTTAAAGATTCTTATAATTTTATTAAAGTATATTTATAGACATATATTATTTATAGATATCATTTTCACGATATGCTCACGTTTGCATGAAAAAATTTTATTTGAACAACTTATTATTCATGACATTACTAAATTTTTTATTGTTATATGTTTGTTTTTTATATTATAAGATTTAAATATGTATGTGTTAATTTTTTCTCAGTTCTTTTTTCTTTTTTGCACAATTTTTCAATGAAAAAAATTTCACAACGTACAAAAAAATTAGATGGGACGAAATCTGGTGAATATGAATCTACGAAACATTGAACTACGATCAAAATTTAAATATATTTTTTACATAATAATAATTTTTGTCTGCGATATTAAAGATACGTACGCAATGGAGAATAATTTTCTTTTCTAAATTAGAGCGATGCTTTCAACCCAGTTGAGCACACTCAGTTTTGTTGAATGATCGAGAATCGACTGTAAAACAACGAAACTTTTTTTAAACATCGATCATGAATCAACTCATCACATTTGTATTTTATATTACGTAAAATTATTTCATTCGATGATTTTATGCAGGTTACGACTTAGATCATGCGGGGGAAGCAGTAAAAGCTATGGCCAGATTTCATGGTTTGGGAATAGCGATGAAACAAAAAAGACCGGGTATATTCGAGATGTTCAAAATGTATGCGAAACCTTTACAAGCTGTACAATCCTCCTCAAATCAGATGTTCCGATTAATATTGGAACAGATAAAGAAAGATCCAGAAATAAGTCCTCATTTCGATAGATGTAATAAAATTTTATCAGAATTGAAACTGGACGAATTGTGGGCAGATTCATATCGAGAACCATGGTTATCCATAATTCATTGCGATTTCTGGGTGAACAACGTGATGTTTCATTGTAACGATAAAGGAAAGATAGACAATGTGAAATTTGTTGATTTTCAAATATATCTTTACGGAAGTCCTTTGCGTGATCTACTCTTTTTCCTTTACTCCAGCGTGAAACTCGAAGTAACGGAGGACGAAGTCGACGCTCTGTTAGATCTGTATTACGAAACTATAATAGACACATTAAATAAAATGGGATGCGATACGAGCAAATTCACCAGGGAAGGATATAAAGAGAAATTGGCCGAGGACGCTGTACGCGAGTTCAGCCATATAAGCTTTATGATAAAGATGCTCACGTTGGATACGAAGGAAATCGATAATTTTGATGTAAATAAAATGCACGAGGTATTGGTTCAACATACTGGAAATGAATTATTTAATAAACGATTACGAAAACTGATATTATGTTTTGTACAACGCAATTGGATATAGATAAATTAAATAATGAAGAAAAATTATATTTTTTATAAGTATAAAATGTTGGTTTTTATACGATTATAATGTGTTATTTCCTTTTTGAAACAATTGATCATAATTGTTCTATATCGCTGTAGTTATATCGCGGAAATATTATTTTGATCGATATATGTAATTGATTTTATATCTGTAATCAGAAAAATATAATCAATTTAATTAATATCATGTGAAAAACATAAATCAATCATATTTTACATCAAAAAGATATCGAGTTTAAATAATTAGTATAAATAAAAATGAATTTGATCGAAATGATAATAATCACGACAAATAATTATTTCATTTTTAAATAAACAGTTTTTGTTTGTTATATACATTTTTCTATGTGTATAACTTTTGTATATTATATTCAGATGTATGTGCATGTATAGGTATCATAAATGATAACATTGTGTGTTTATTACGATATCGCTAAGATTTCAATTCTATAAAAGTAGAATTTGATTGATATGAATAAATTTTTATCTATAAATTATATAAATCAATAAAGTACATGAGAATATAAGTTTTCTTAAAAATTTATATTTTCAGAAAATCATATCAATTGCATTTACGTTAGATAGCAAGATTGTCATTTTATTTTTCACGAGTCAGATATTTTAATATGTTTTAATTGTATAGCTCAATATTTGATGAATTGTCCGTTTAAATTGTTACTTTGACTTTCATGAGTCAGAGAGTTTAATGAATCTTAATAAAATAATAATATTAATGATTTGAATAATAATAATGAATCCATCAGTAGACAAATATTTTATTTTTTTATTAGGATATATAGAATTATCATATAATAAAATAAAAATCAAATACTGAAATGAATTAAAGCCTTTTTTTTTAAATATTTTTTAAATATAATATGTGTATTCAATCTACATGTTGATTAGATTAAATTATTATTTATTTATTTCGTACAAAGAAATATGATTTTGATAATAAAGATAAACGAAAAGTATGTTAATTAATCTCATTTGAATTTTTTTTTATGTAATTACTTATATATATATTGTATTTTTAATTATATTTCTTTAATTTAAAAAATTTTTCCTTGATAAATAGTAGTTACAAAGCAAAATATAAAATATTAATATTCATGTTTTATTATGTTCAAGTATTGTATAAAACAAAATTTCTTTTTTAAATAAATTCTATATTTTTATTTTATTAAATAAATTCTATATTATTATATATCTTATCTTATATATATATATATACACGATAAGAAATATAAAATATCGTATATATATATATATACACACGATAAGAATATATATATATATATATTTAGATTATAAAATAATTCTGATAATAATAGAAAAAGAAATTAATTTTTTAGTTATCTTTAATGATCAAATATCCAGTATCAATACAAGGACTTCTTTATTATATTTCGAAACAAAAAAATTCTTTTTGATTGCCATGAAGAAATAAATAATAGGAATAACATTCATGAAAATTTACGATAATTTTCATGAAAGAAGTGATGAAAAAAAAATTTGCGATACAATTAATATTTTAATTTTATATAATAATATTATATTATAATAATATAATAATATTTTAATTATTATACAATGTAAAGGTAAAAAAGAAATCAATATTTTTTAATTCTTTTAAAATAAGTAAGAAATGTAATAAACTAGGTAACATGAAAAATTTGCTAATACATATTTATATTTTATTAAATAATTTTATTAAAAACTTTATTATAAAAATATTTTGTCTATTTTCAAGCATAATGTTATATAATAAATCACATGTCTCTAAGTATTCTTATTTTATAAAATAATCGTGATAAAATTAATCGTGATATGATCAATGATTTAACAATTTTTGAACAGATTACATATTTACAGATACATATTTCAAATTTCAAAATAATTTTGGATAAGATCAATTTTAAAAATTATTATAACATAAAAAATTATTTTTTTTTTCAAATGAACAATTCTTATTTTATTTTCTTATTTTTAATTTCTCATATTAATTTTCTTTAACATTATTTTGTATCTTTTTATCATAAAAATTTTATGAAAAAATATGTATAATGTTGCTCAAATTGAAAATAGTTTTTAATAGAATAAGAATTAAAAATTAATTAATTATAAATGATATTCTTAATAAAGTATTTGTATTCTGATGAGAATGAAGAAATAAAAAATATAAAAAAATATATAAAATAAAGAAAGAAGAAATAAAAAAAATATAATAAATAAAGCTATACATAATAAGCAAGTCATAATAAACGATAATATATATTATATGCAGATAAGAATGAATCATGTAACGTGATCTTCAATATTTCGTAATTTTCTAAAATAACTTTAAATAAATCATAAAATAATTCTTTAATCATGAAAATAACTGGTAAATTATTTATTGTATGAAATATTACAAATATTACATGAATATGTAGAAGAAAATATATTTGATGTTTTTAATTTCTTTACAGATATAGAATAGTAATTACAAATTTAATATTATATTATTATATTTATTATTATATATAATAGTAAGATATTGTATAAATAATATAATTTTTATATATCTAATCCTTGATATCTGATAAATCATACTTTTATATCAAATTCTCATCAATAATAATTGATGACTAACTATTTGATGACAATGTAAGATTTTTTTATCTATATTGTGATTTTAAGTGATTTATTAATTTTTAAATAAAATATATTGTTAAAATTTGATAAAAGTATAAAATTTTTCATTTATTAGTTTCTTTAATATATCATATAATGGTAGAAGAAACATTTGTGATTTATGTTTATAATATTTTTGGATTTTAAGTAATAATAATAAGATTGCTTTGATAAAATTAAAAATAATAAAATTTTATTATTAAAATTATGATAAAATTTATTTCAAATAAAAAATATATGTATAAATAAGTATCTACATTCTTACATATGTCATGTTTTTCGCGTTTATATATTTACGCAATAGTTGCATGCTTATGATGGAGCAAACAGTTTCTTAGTGGTTGAGACCACTTTTTTTTTAGTTTTTCTATATTTTTATAAAAGTTTTAACCAGATTTATCTGCAAAGAATCGTATCAGAAAATAAAATTCTATAATTAAAATAATGCGTGTTTTCATGATGCAAAATTTTCATCGATTAACTTTATTTATATGGCTTGTATCTATTCTAACCTTATCTATCAGTGATGAAATTAAAACAGATGGTAATACATCTTTAACGTTAAATATAAACAATGTTGGTAGTGATTCCAAAACTGAACATCGAATTTCATCTTCATCAATTGAATTTAATTCTAAAATACAGAATGTACGTAATATAAATATATAATATTTTATATATATATATATATATATATATA